TTTTGAAATAAATCCCACTTGGTCATGGTATACTATCATTTTTACGTATTATTGGATTGAATGTTTTATATATTCTTTATAATTTCTGTATCTGTTATTCATAAGGAATGTTTTATGAAGTTTGCTTTCTTCTAATGTCTTGCCCTTTTTAGTGTCATAATACTGATGACTTAAAACTGAATTGAGAGGTATTGCCTTCTCTTCTGTTTTTTTTGGAAGGATGTGTAAAATTGGTAGACTTTTAACCATTCTTTTTTTAAAAAACTACAGAGTTGGTAGTTTTTTAAAAAGAATGGGTAAGTTCACAATTAAAGCTATCTAGACCCTGATATTTTTCTGTGGGAAAATTTCTAACTACAAATCATTTACTTTAACAGTTACAGGATATTCAGCTTATACATTTCTTCTGCATGTTTCAGAAGTTTATATTTTACAAGCATTTTGTCTGTTTTATATAAATCACTTATTTTTGGCACAAACTTTTTCATAATATCTCATTATTCTTCTAATATCTCTAGGATCTATAGTGAGGTCACTACTCAATCAGTAATGTGTGCCTTGTCATTTTCCACTGATGATTCTAACTAGAGATATCTCAATTGTATTTATCTTCTAAAAACTGCCTTTGGTCTTTCCTGGGTTTTGCTATTTTCCATTTTCTGTCTCATAGAGGTCTTCTCTGGTGATCCAGTAGATCTAGCATAATATTCAGCCACTACTGCTGAAACATTTTGATATCTAAATACCATTAAATGAACTTTTATCTGTTCCTCAACTGTATTAGAAGATTAGTCTAGCTACCCAATTCCCATGAGTTGAGTACAAGTTGGTACAAGATAGTAGCATATTTTACCATGCATCATAGAGGTGATTAAGTGGTTTCTAGATCACAACACAGTAGTCATAGGACATAGGAACATAACACGCTCCCAAAAAGATGAAACAAAAGTCAAGTTGTACCAATGTTACAGGAAAATGTTTAGTTTTTAGTCATTGAGGTTATCATGAATTTAGGAATAGGATTTCTAAGAAGGAGAATTTTTAGAGGAAAAAAACCCATGAAAATTTTTAGAAAGGGACTCAGCAGGGTAAGGAGGATAAGTTCTCCATCATGTTCAACATTGCATTTGAGAAACAGACACCAGAAAATGACAATTTGCAGCAAAGATTCACTTTTCAGTCCAAGTCAAATGAACTCTATCTCCACTGATTTGTTCTTATTTCCCTTTTATGAATCTTATCAAAACTACATTATAAAATGAATAAACTGCAAAAACAGATTGAGGTTTTTTTCAGTTTTTAAAAATGTTGAAAACCAAGGAAAGACACCTTTGTAGAATTCTATCCATGAACACATATTTTTTTCTGCATAAGTTGTTGTATAGTTAAAATCATGTAACAGATCAAATTAGAATTATCGTATCCTGACAAATATCTCCTCTTTATGGACTTGAATAGTTTCTATTTGGCAAAATGCAATTTACCTGATTGTTTTCAATCTGACTCCTTACTACATGAATGCTTTAAAGAATCAGGGCATGTAAGTTATTTGAATTACACTGTCTATTGATAGTGAAGAAAAATTCTAACTATCAGTGTTAATTATAACCCATGTTCCAAAAGCTTCTCCTCAGTAGTGGATTTTAAGTCTACATTGTATCTACCAATGCTATACTTTTCACATTTCATTTTCATTCAGTTTCTGAATTTAATTTATAATCTCTGAATATTATTGCATACTTTATTCATCACAGAAAAACCTCATTTTTTATCATTATCCTAATTTTTGCTATATTTATCAATTTACCTACTTATCCTTTGATATTATGTCTAAGAAATGGGTTGATGCTTTCCTGCATCTATGTGACATATGGAACAAAACATAAATACAGGAAAGTGAAATAAAAGCAATAAAAAATGCTTTCCTTAACTTCATTTTCCTTAATGATACATAAAGAGATATGTATCATTTCTAATTTAAAATTTCTTGAATCATTTGTTGTACAAACCGTAAGAAGTTGATCTATATAACTGAGTGGTTTTCCAAACCAGGATTCAGTATTTGGTGCAGTCACCATGCTAGTCCATTCCTCAGGAGACAATAGTCTTCCGCAGTTTCTTGTGATCCTTACCATATTATTTTTACAAACATCTTCATTACTTTGAACTCTTTCAGTTCTGCATTTTCTTTACACTCAAATATTTATTTTACCATTTACAAATTGGCTGGGTTTACACAGACAAATGATTTTAGTAGATCCTAACAAAATTGTATTGGAAGTTAAAATTGTTGAAAACTGTTTAACTTATCCATTTTATTCTCCATATTATTAAGTAACTCTTCCTATTCTACTACAGGTACTTTATACCAAGCATTTCTATGATGTACTTATTCAATTGCTTTATCTAAATTCGCAATTTAAGCATCTGTTAGGAAGATCATTAATTTTATTAATTACTGCATTTTTCTTGATCGGTGTTCATGTATTATTTTTCTCCTCTTTTACAAATCATTACTACTAGTAATCTTTCACTAATCATTATATAATTCATTACTCCTTAATTGGAGTAATGAAAGATAAATCTACCTGAGTTTAAATTTTTATGATCTATTTTTTTTACTCTTTGGTTTTCAAAATGATTTTGTACTGAGCAATCTTTTGCTCCTATGCATAACGCTAATAGTAATCATTATATCTTATCACATATCCAGAATTACATATAAAATACTCAACAGGCATGCAATCCAGTAATTAGTCAACAAAATAGAAATTTTGTTTTTATATCATATTTGTTGTTCAGCTTTCCTCAAGGAAAGGAATGTTGAAAGAATTTTAAGGTGAATATTTCAGTCTTTCTGGTGGAGGTTCCCTTAAGAAACAAGTTGTACCTCTATTTAAAGAGTTGTGTTACTTTTTCAAGACCATATTTTAAAAATACAGCACTATTAAGCTAACTGGGAATTCAGAACTCAGAGGCCAGTGATAGTGGTTCCATTAGACTTAATGAGATGATAATGTCAGAGACTGACTGAAGTAAAGAGAAGCCAGGTGATGCATCTTTAACCGGCCTGCAAGTGGGAAGTGGTGAGAATGGGGAGTCTTAGCTTGGAAGAGCTTGACCCTTACAAGGAGTTGCAGAAATCTCTATGGTAAATAACTAGTAGATGACAGACATTTGAAAGTATATAAACAAAGCATTTCAGAAAAGCTCAATGACAAAAAGGTGGTTTAACTTGGGCAGTTTAAGCAAACTAATTCTGGATGACACATTGCTACATTTATCAATCTTCCTACTTATAATCTGATACACAGTCTATGAAATGGGTTGATGCTTTCCTACATCTATATGATGTATGGAATGAAACATAAATATAGGAAAGTGAAGTAAAAGCAATAAAAAATGCTTTCCTTAACCTCATCTTCCTTAATGATACATAAAGGGATATGTATGATTTCTAATTTAAAACTTCTTGAATCATCTGTTGTACAAACCAGAAGAAGTTGATAATATAAATCTTTTTGTCATTTTTTCTGAAATGTTTTATTTATATACTTTCAAATACCTGTTATTTACTAGTTATTTACCATAGATAGCAGAATACAAACTAAAGAGAATATTGAAAGACCCTTAACTTTTGGTTTTATTATATTGCCTCATTATATTATATGTATTTTTTTCATTTTCTATGCTCTTAAAATTTCTGAAAGTTAGATAATGCTATGGGATAACTAGATCAATTTTCTTAAAATGGAAAATGCATGCATATAAATGATTAAGGGACAATATAATCAATTGTTTAAATAACCACTATTCCTGAAATTGTATTTATGACTCACATGTCTTTTTAAGATCTAGTTTATTAACAAGTTATACAAAAACATAAAAAACTGCCCAGTCCATTACAGGTTATATAGATTTTTTTCCCTGGATGTGTTTTATTATGCTTTTCTAGATGGTATTTTCAAAATACATTTTCTTCAAATCAAGGTCAAAAGTTAAAAAGGAAATGAAATTGCCTAATTCATAAACTTTTCTGGAAAAGAAATCATGTACCATGATGTGTTTCTGTGAAAACATTCTTTATTATATTTCATATTTTAAAATTCTGGTCATGACAAAGAAGTCGAGCCCCTGAAATTCCAGATTATTACTGGGAATTCAAAAATCCTAAAGAAAAGTTCAGTTTATTCTAATATTTTGGTGTCACTGGTAGAAAGCATAGCTATAAATGTATATATGTATATCAGTGACAAACGGAGAGAATAAATACACTGAGATAGCATTGTCCTCCTCATTTATCAGTCATTTATAGGCAGTTTCCAGATAGCTTCAGAAGTATCCCAACTTTTCAAAGGAAATTTTTTGAGAATGGAAACACCTAATAAGCATGGTATTTCATTGTTATTTTTTTAAATAAGGTAATGAGAAAAACCATTTCTCATCTACAATTGAAATACTTCTAAATGTTAACAATGCAGTAGTAGAAAACAACCAGATTCTTTGGATGTATTTTAACACAATGATCTTTTGTTTTTAATAGACAAACACTCTCTAAGTTGAGCATCAACACTACTAACGGTTAACTCTACCACAATTTTCTTTTTATTCATTCAGTAGAGGACACACAAAAATTGGTAGTATTTCAAAAATATAAATGAATATTATTTTATGTAGGTTGTAATTAAGTGCAAGTAAACAATGATAATAACCTTTACATGGCATGCTACACTCAATATATTTTAATTAAATATATTTATATTCTTGACTAACTAGAATTCAAATATAAAAGAGACAGGCTGAAGAACTTGGCTCAGTTTTTCCAGATATCAACAGGAAAAGAAGTAAAGTGAAAATAATCTATACTGAAGACTATAAAGAAAATAAAATTCTTTGAAACCAAGCTTTTTGAAAATACAGCTTGAAATGAGGTAAAGATAAATAACAAAGCAAAGAAACCAAAATAAATGAGGAACTGTGTGTTGGAAGCTACTATTGGATACACTGGTATTGCCAGGGTCCCTTTGTTTGTTTCTTTACATGTGATGCAATAGGATATTCATTTGTTTGGGAGAGAAACAACCCTGTGTATCATATTAATGAAGGCTTGTTTCACCTGTTGGTTCCATAAGGTGTAGATGAAAGGGTTCAAAAATGGTGCAACAGAGGTATTGAGAACTGCAATTCCCTTGGAAAAAGATACTTTTTGTTTCACTGGAGGTTTAACATATATGAAGATGCAGCTGCCATAAGAAAGGGAGATCACAATCATGTGAGAAGAACATGTTGAAAAAGCTTTTTTCCTCTGATTAGCTGAAGGGAGTTTTAGAATTGTTAATGCAATGTACGTATATGATACTATCACCATTGCCAAGGTGACCAGGAGTGCCATTACAGCAGAAATGAATCCCATTATCTCGGTGAGCTTTGTGTCTGAGCAGGAGATCTGCATGAGGGAAGTTGAGTCACAGTAGAAATGATCAACAATGTTGGAGTCACAGAAATCAAGGGTTAGGCCCAAGAGGAGAGGTATAAAGATGGTAAAGAACCCAGCAAGCCAACAACAGGAGACAAGCTGTGTGCAGATTTTAGTGCTCACGATGACTGTGTAACGCAGGGGCTTACAGATGGCAA